GTATTAGATTGAGAAGAATTATACGCTATCATTTTTTTTTTCTTTCTTTTTCTTCTCAATCCAATACGCTAAGCGTCTGGAATAAATACAATGCAAAGGCACAGGTCCCCGATCACAGTAATGAGAATATAATAAACAACTCAGAACCAAAAGATACATATCACAACTGAAATGATCATCCAGACATAATATTCGGGCCAAACATGCCCTTATACAAACTATCTGAATGAAATACTGGAGAATATAAAATACAATGATCAGGCGGAAAAGGAAATGCTACGAAAATAAACTGAAAGGAATAACTGAACTTCAACTCTTCTTCTGCTTCGTCTACAAGACACTCCTACTGAGAATACTCGGCTTTGGCGCATCTCCAAGATGAACATGTTCTTCTTCTAAGTTTGACGTACACCAGAGAAAATAGGTGTATGTCAGGTGCATGGCGCACGACAAGATCTCAAAAGGAAGAATAGAACGGTTTTGCGACCAATGCGATAATGGTAATAACAATGGAAACATACAACTGAAATACTAATATTCTGAATATAATTTACTACTAGAATAGAATAATCATAATAAATCCAAGGGAATCAACCAAGTAACAAGTCGATCATAACAATAATAATAACAATAGTAATAATCTAAATGAAATCCACCACTAGAATATAATAATCAGAAGAATCCAAAACCGATCGGGTAACGAGGTCATGTAGCTAATGATCAGACTAATCATCCAAGTAACGAGATCATACTACTAGCCATTGTATAACAGGTCACTGGTCACATCTCACACAGAGTCAACGCTCCTGTCACCGGATAACTGACTGTTCACAAATCCTCTACGTGCATCCAATCCCGCGAAACGGTTCGGTGAGAGGACTACACGTAATCCGATTTCGGCCTGGTTCGAACTCAAGCAAAACTCGGGTGACGAAACGATTTCACTAACCAAGTGCGAAACGGTTCACTTGGCCCAACAAACTAACCCCAGTGCGAAACGGTTCACTGGTTCTAGTCTGGAAGATACATCAACAGTCTTATCCGATCACATGAACATTAACTTTCCCATCCCAACTCTCTTGTTTTTCTAAGCTAACGTATACATAGGTTTCTAAGTCTTAAACAGAACATACCAGGCCATACTAGTCATGAATTTCTAACGGTTCTCATGCATAACAAAGAGTAATAATTGTAGCTAATCATATACAATAAGATCATAGCATATCACATAATTAAAATTAAGAAACATAAATCATGAATATTTCATAATAATCATTTCTCTAAAACAAATCCTTTAAAAATATTTATAAATATCCTAAAATAATTCCTTTTATAAAACTTTCTTAAATTACTGAAATTATTCTAAATTGATACTTATTCTAAAATTAATTCTTTTAAATTATTTATAATTATTCTAAAATAATTTTATTTTATTTTATCTTTACAGTATCTATTTTTTAAATTATTTATAATTATTCTAAAATAATTTTATTTTATTTTATCTTTACAGTATCTATTATCACAGTATTATTTTAATATCATTCGTCAAATAAGTCCGTACAAGTCATCACAGTATATGTATTACAACGTGAATGGTCATACGTTATTGTCCACAGTCCATTTCGTTCACGACAGTTCTATACGTTATAGTTCTCAGTCCAATATGTTCACGACAGTCCCGTATTTGTAACGAATCGAATAATTATTCGGGTAACGAGTCCGTATATTAATCTGTGATCAATCTAAAATTGTACTGAGCAAGAATAGGGATCTTAAGCTCGGGGTTTTTGTCGAACGAATTCGACCTTCGACGGCGTGGGTACCGGGCTCTAATCTCGAGCGCGGTCTGAGCAGTTGGAGTCCACCGTCAGAGAGAGAGGTCAGTCAGCAACGTCGACGCGAAGGGTAGCAGCGACAGCGACGAGCTCGGTACGCATCGCGGCGCCGCACGACGGGGGCTGAAGGAGTCGGGCGAGCCTCAGAGGAGCGCCTAGGTGGTATGTGGCGGCTGCCTCGGACGAGCGAGCGGCGGGTCGCTGGCAGTGCTAGGATCGGTCGACGGGGCAGGCCGAGCGGCTCAGGCGACGGCGGTCAGCGGCGGAGATCTCTCCGTCGACGGCGGTCAGTGGTCGCCGGAGCTACGTGAGAAGGAGGCAAAAGAGAGCAGGGCGGTTAGCTGAGGAGGGGAGGAGGTCGCGGCCGATGAGCGGAGGTTCAGCTAGGGGAGATGGCGTGCTGCGTGGAGGCCGGCCGGGGCGGCGGCTGGCTGCGGGACGCGCGTCAAGTCGGACGGAACAGCGGTGGCTGGAAGCTCAGAAACAGGGCGGCTAGATGGGAGAGAGGAGCCGGTGCGCGTGGCTGCGTTTGCGGCGGACGGCCGAGCGCGGCTGTAGGGCAGGCATGGCGATCGGAGGGAGCTGCGCGTGTCAGCCGGCGAAGAGCGGCGTCGGAGGGTGCGGAGGGCGGAGCTCGCGGGCTGAGCTCGAGAGAGAGAAAGAGAAAGAAGAGAGAGAAAGAGAGTGTACGAAGAGAGAGATGGGGGCTGGGTGGGGTTTAAATAGATAAAAAAATAATAATAAAAAATTGAAAAGGATAAAATAAAATACTTAATGATATGCGCGTGCAGCCGTTTTTTTTTAAAACGAAGAGGAGGGAGAGAACGGGGTTGTTGGGTAGCTGATAGGGGTTTAACACGGGAAGAAAAAGCTGGTGTTATTTTCAAATGGGTTCAGATATTTAAACGAAAAATAATTAAAATAAATAATTTTGGGTACTTAAAAATTAAACTAATTACATAATAATTATCTACAAATAAAAACGTACATTTTGAGCTAACACAACAGTTGATATGAAACTGTCGAAAATATACCCGTATTGTACAATTAAACGAAAATAATTAATAATAAAAATATATTTACTTACATTTAAAATCAAATAATTATGTGACAATTATCTTATACGATAAAACGTACCAGTTATGCTAATACGACAGCTGATACGTAATAATACAATAATTTACACAAATAATACGTAATTAATAATTCAATGTAATACAAGAATTAATACATAATAATAATAATAATACGACGTATTATTTAAAATAATACGTAATAGTATCAGTAACACAACGGATAAATCCCAGAAATTTCATTGCACTAAATTAATTTATAAATATAAAAACCATTTAAATAAATATAAAACTTAGACTTTAAATCATAGAAAATTTCTAGAAAATCGAGAAAAATACAAATACTCTTTTAAAAATAATATTTAAAATACCAAAAATTTATTTTAACTAATATCAAAATTTCACGATCCTTACAGCAACAGTCGCAGTGATCGACTTATGGCCTTCCTCCAACGCCCTATGTCGAGGCCACTACTGTCAGGTCTAGCCACTGATCAACGGCCCTGCTCTCGTAGCGAGATTCGATTTGGGTTACTCAATTTTCTTGAAAGCCAAACATGGCCACCATCGACGCCTAGCATTGGGCAACGGCAAAGACGGCAGGTGAGCCTCCTACGCCTAACATAGAAATAAAAAAGATTTTTTAAAAATGAAAAATTAAAGATTTATTTTTTATCCCAAAAAAATAAATCCTTAATTTATTAAATTTTACCCACTAGTTCATAAAAGTTAAATTTTTTACTATAGATCTGACATTCAAGATGTCAAAAATTAGACTTTTTCACCAAAAATTTAATTTTTTTTATCAACAAAAATCCTAAATTTTTGTTCTAGGGACCAACATCACCATATTTCCTAAAAACAAGATAAGATGTGAACAACCCTAATCTCTCTGAGATTAATGTAAACTAAGTATGCATACATATGAATAGATAAATCTCTTGTTTGGTGATTACATTTCCAGAATTTTTTAGAAGGATCGTCACGTATCTAATGATACGGGTGTATCTTCTCTTCGGAAAAAAAACGATCCTCATGGGAGCTTGAGAATAGGTGATTCTCATGATATCTTGAGAATAGTGGTGTGAAGCGATCCTCATGGGAGCTTGAGAATAGGTGATTCTCATGATATCTTGAGAATAGTGGTGTGAAGCGACACGGCGGAGCACAGGATGGAGCGTGGAGCGAGGCGAAGAATCAAAGAATCGAAGCCTCAGTTTTCAGCCTCATGAGTCGACTCATGTGTATGTTTGAGTCGACTCAAGAAATCAAGCCCTGTTAGCAAAACGTCTCTGACCAGTCGACTCATCAGTTATGAGTCGACTCATATGAGGTCATGAGTCGACTCATAACTGTTCATGAGTCGACTCATCGGAGCTTTCCAGATTCGTTAAGGATTCTGTTTACGTGTTTTTCTGTTTGGGTTTGGTCTGGTTATTTACCAGATTACCACCACGTTATAAACCCTATAAATATGGACTGTTTAGGGTTCTAAACAGAGGGTGAGAAGCCAAGATGTAGATCTAAAGGGCTTTAGGTCTAAGTGAGAACCTAATCAAAAGGATTAGGATTTAGATTGTGAGGATCTATGAGATCTTAGAATCAGAGGTAATTAAGAGAGATTCTAATCATTGTATTAGGGTTTAGAGAGGATTGAGAGGTTGTTCTCGATTCTAGTGAGATTGTGCGTGAGAGATTTGTAATAATTGATTCTTCAGAATCTAGAGAAGGTATTTTCCTTCGCCATACTGAATTGTTCTTGTGTTTTAGTTGTCTTCTTCTCAACCCACCTTTTGGTAATTCCTTGACCAAAGAGTGCTCGCACGGCAACTCGTATCATCTAATCTTAATTTTGAGCAACAACCTACAGGCAACCACACCAAAGATCAGAGGATTGATGAAAAGGAAGGAGATAGATATTAGTATATCTTTCCTCTTTCTATTTAATCTTTACATAAATGCATAAATATAGAGCAGAGGAAACAACTAGCATTAAGAACCCATTCACTAAATGACCAATTTAAGCGCACTTAGAATCCACCCATTCAACGGGAAGGACCCACCAATTACTAACAGTTATGATAACAAGATGTAATCCCAAATCAACTTGCTTTTTCACATTCATCAAACCAAGCAACATTGTGTTAATTCTAGATTATAGCTATCTACATAATCAAGTTGGACGACCATATTATCATATTGATATTCGACCCCAAACTATAAAATACATTAAGATTGCTTAGCATAAGCAGGCCATAATAAACAACAATAAACTCCACGTTAATTCAAAGGTGAATGCAGGACTAATGGCAGATCACCAACATATCCATTCCCAACATATAGATTTATGGGAAAGAAGAATGATACTACACTATACACAAGAACTGTATAGAAACTATGCTTCCACAACAGATACTATTGAGTTGTCATTTTAGTGGTTTGAAGGCAACCAGAGTTCTATACGAGTTCCCCTAGCACCCAACATTACATCTGGAGTACGAGGAGAGATGACACGGACAACACAACCGTAGTTCTCAAGGACCTCACGGGCAACGGCCACTCCTGCAACAAAGTTCCAGGTCACGTTGTCCTCCACCTTACCATCTGACAATAGGTTCTCCCTAAAGGGTGTCAGTGAACGCATCTGTGTCTGAAAAAAACATGTAAGGAAGCAGTAAATTTGACATCATAATCCAAATATGGTTATTTTGTGAAAAGTGAATTATATTACCAAACACAATGGTACATGAGCAGAGACATCATAATCTGACATCATAATCCAAATATGGTTATTTTGTGAAACAGTTTGCATGAGCTATGGCCTTCATGGAGGTTATTTTGTGTCCCCCCAAAAAAAGATAGATAGCACTGGGATGTTTACTGTAGTGCTTTGGTCTGGACCGGTGTGGTGCGAAAGAAATTCTCATATATTCACTAAAAAAAAATAAACATGCTTTACAATTATAGGCAAATTAACCATGTTTCTATGTTTTCATTAAGGAATACTACTATCATGGATCGTAATAAGCGATATTTCAGCAAAAAGACTCGTTGACACATGCTTTATAATCTTATTCTGTTTTTTATGTCTATTTGATTTAAATTTCTCTTTCTATTTAATGACTTTAAGGACCATAGGATTTGGATTTTAGTTTTCTTTTTTACTTAGGACTTTAAACTCTACAAGATTTGAAGTTTAGTGTAACAACATTTCCGTTTGTTCGATTTGAACTTTAGTTTAGAGACATTCCAGACCATTTGATTTGATCTTTTAATAGGAATAGGATTTGGTTTTTAATAGGATTTTATTTTAATTTGGATAGGATAGGCCTTATTTTTTTAAACGCCTCTTATGGAATTTTTTAAACTCAACATGAAGGTGTAGCAACTCATCGCCCATGTTCTACTTTATTAACATACAGACTAACCCCGTATGGTGTAACTTTTCCTTTAGTTCTTAAGACACCTCAGGTAAGAACCTTATGAGAATGTTCTTGGCAAATTTATCGGGATGCATCTTCATCATGAGAGCCATGGAGTTTGTGTGCTAATAAATAAATTAGAGGCGATAAATAGCTACACCCTCGTAGTAGAGGGATGCATCTTCAAATAACCCTGCTTAAGTAGAAATGGGTTATAAATTGTTCTTTATGACACCATGTAATCATATAAATCACTAGTAATGTAATACCATGGCTGTAAAAATTAATGGATAGAAAAAATTGTATTTCACCATGTAGTGCATATCAGGCCCATTATCATCAATGGCAATGAAAGTGCCTCCAGCCGGTGCTGAAGTGGCATATATTTCAACTCTTCCACCAATCTGGGTACGGAGTAGAGCACCTTCAATAAGATTACTAAGAGCCTGGCGAAGAGCAGATTCTTCAACAGCAACATGCAACGGGTGGCTAACTTCACTGAGTACAAGAAAGCGTTGTTGTTTAGTAGCAAGAGGTACTGCAGCCCCAACCAAATCCTTTAATACCTCAGACATAATGCATGGTCTGCCTAACAAATAAACAAGAGGATATTATATTTATCTGGAAGAAAAAGCTAAAGCATAGTACAAAAGAAACGAACAAAAAATAATTATGTTACAAACTTGAAATCAGATAATTAAATATCATAAGACATGAAAACATGTTGGCGTACATATTCCCAGAGTTCAATTAAGGATATAAACCTGGATTAGATAGTGAACAGGACCATATTAACTTATCCTTGAGCACACAAACATGATGATGAAGAAATTAAATTGTACATCGTTTAAAGAAACACGTGAATTAAGAATACTTCAAACACGGCAACCTTTAGGTATCTCTCTAGTTGAAAACTGTACATCACAAATGAGGCTGAATCAACAGAAACCTGCAAATTCCTGTTAAAGTATTTCAGATGTCTGCTAAGTAGTAGGTACATATTTCTAGCAAATTCCTACATGATTCGATAAAGGAAAACTCCTTAAATACCCCTTGAAAGGTTCATTGTAAATTAAACTATAGTAAAACTAATGAGAGTTGTATATTGTAAAAGAGAGGTAGAGAGAAGAAAAGAGAGAAATCTACAATTTTGAAAGATCTTTTGATGAGACTAAAAAGAAGGTTTCCCGTGAAATCTTTAGAGATCACAACAAAAGATTGTATCTTTATAATCTCTGATATAAAAGACGACTCAAATCTATCCCGTGGACATAAGCGATTGCAGAACCACATAAATCCTATGTTTGGCTCTTGATATATTTTTTGTTAGTTGTTTAATGCTTCCTCTTTTATTCAAACTAGATGTTTCTCCGAGTTTCCCCATCACCCGGTGATCGATTAATCTACAAAGACTAAGGAGATCTACTCAAACGTTTCGGTGACATTTTTGGAGACTACACTGCCACATAGATCGTCATTTAATGCACAATGATCAGTGTCAGGTTGCAGGTGGCGTGCGCCAACAAGTTTCTATGTAGCAAAAGGAATCAAAGTTCCTCCAGGGTAAGAAAAGGTAAATTTGATGATTCTATTTCTATAACTGTTCGTCGTCATTGCAAGAAACCTAACTACTTCCAAAAAGAATGCTCTCAAAACAAAAAGGAGCAAAAGGAAAGGAGCAAGAGCTTCAAAACTACTTGGGACTTCTTGAATGGAGATAAAAGCTCAGAGATCAGCTTGAGTGATGACGAGAAAAGGCGCATCTAGCTGAGACCAAAATCTAGACTTTCTGATAGTTTTGAAGACAAGAACTTTGATGATGAGCTATACCCTTCATATGATGAGTTATATGATAAGTATAGTGAAATGTTGGGTCAACTTAAAATTTGCTGAAAAATTCATTTTAGAGTTGAATGCTCCTAGCAAGGCAAGTTCAAACACTTCATCACTGCTTAAAGTGTTTCATATACAAGGATATGAATAGTGAGTTACTGAAAAATTGAATGCTTTGAAAATTAAAAGTGATGACTTAGTTGGTTAGTTAACCACTCTTCCATGCAAATTGTCCAATGAGCAAAAGAAGTTTGAAACATATATCTAAAAATGAATTTCTCAAGTCCAAAGTTTTTGACTTAAGAGACAGATCGTGAAATTTTTGCATTAGGCTTAAGAGGCTTCAACATGGTCCTTTCTAGTCAACAATTTGCCAAAGTAAAGACTGGACTTGAGTATTCATATTCAAACAAGAGGTTTAAACCCTCCTTTGCAAAAGGGAACAATTTGTCTTTCTATGCTCCTACCTCCAACGCATCTACTATTTAATTATTGTGTGGTAGAATAGGGCATCTCTTTATGTCACGTCCATGGACTAAAATTGTCAAGCAAATTTGAGTATCTAAAGAAACTATTTTTTAACTAGGCTAGGCCTTTCTGGATACCCAGGTTACGCATTCCTTCTTTAATATAGGTGCACCGGCGGGCTCAGAAGCAAGGCAACACTTGGTATTTTGATTATAGATAGTCCCAACACACGAGGGAAACAAAGAATTATTTTTTAGCCTAACCAAGAAGAAAATGATGGAAATGTGACATTTGGCAATAATGAAAAAGGTAAAATTGTGGGAGTTAGTGAGATAGGTAACAATTCCTATGAACTCCTTAATGTTTTATATGTTGAATGCTTAGGACATAATCTCATATCCATCAGTCAATTATGCGACAAAGGTATGTCTATTTTACTTGAACCTAAGATTTGCAAAATTATCAATTCTAAAATAGGTTCAATTGTATTTATTGGTAATAAAGATGCTATTGTTTATACCCTAAAGTTTGTTGATATTAATCCTAAAGGTGTAAAATATCTGGTTGTAGGGACAGATGCAGATTTGTGGCATAGGAGACTTTGACAAGCAAGCATGGACCTATTGCAAAAGTTCTCCAGAAAGGATTTGGTAAGAAGTTTTCCACCCAACAAATACAAGAATGATAAGGTATACGATGCTTGCATGAAAGGTAAATTTGTCAGAGCTTATCACAAAAGCAAGAACCAAATAACTACCACTAACCCTTTGCAAATCCTTCACTTAGATATTTTTGGACCGATAAGTATGCAGGTAATAAGTATTGTTTAGTTATGGTTGATGATTACTCTAGATTCACATGTATTATATTTCAAGCCAACAAGAATGATTGCTTTAAAATTTTTAAAATGTGTTCAAACTATGTTAAAAATAAAAAAGACCTCCCTATTCAAACCTTAAGGTTGGATCATAGTGGAGATATTTGAAAATTATGTGTTTGAAATCTTTTGTTTTGAAAAAGATATTTCACATAAGTTTTCTTCTCCTCAAATATCTCAACAAAAAGGGGGTGGTCGAAAGAAAGAACCACAAATTATAAGAAATGATTAGAACTATGCTTAAGGAATATAAATTTCCTAAGCACTTTTACGCTGAGGTAGTGAATACATCATGTCATGTGATGAATAGAGTATATCTTAGACCTATGCTAAACATAGAGAAATAGAAAAAGGCCAAGGTTTAATTCATCTAACCCTAACCGATCTTAGATATAGGTTAGGAGGATATTACAAAATAGGTATGAGATAAAATCATATCCAATGATATCTCAATAATATCTCATAATATATTCTTTAACACTCCTCAAGCTGGAGCATGTATATCATACATGTCCAGCTTGTTACAAATAAAGTACACACTCTAATCTATGACGATACTTCAAAAAACTCAAAGTAGTCTTGATCTTCTTATCTTTTACTTGGATGTCTTCAAATCAACTGATCCCCTCTAGGGCTTCTTACCTTTCACTTGGATCTTCTTATCTTTCACTTGGATGTTTTCAAATCAGCCGATCCCCTCTTGGGCTCCACCAATCGAATGATCCTTTTCAGGATCCAATCACAAATGATCCTTTTCAGAATCCAATAACAAATGATCCTTCCTTGAAGGATTCAACAATAAATAATATCTTTCAGGACCCAATAATAAATTATCCTTTCTCGAAGGATCCAACAATAAATGATCTATTTTTTTAAAATCTGACAAACAAATGATCCAAGAGGTGGAGTCGACTTTGGGCTCGAGCAAAGATCAATGAGGTTAACAAAGCACATGTCAATGAGGGTAGATGAGAGCGAAGTCGGCTCTGATCAAAGTGGACGGCGAACAGTGATCCACGATTGACCAGTAATCCGCTTATATGAACAATGTCAGTGCATGGATGAACAGCAGCTTATTTGCGGCACATAGAAGGATGAACAGTAATTCGATAGCCGCCGAGGGAAAGCACGAAGTTTTCTGCGAAAACCTTGTCGACGGCTTGATGTAGACGATGAACAAAGAGGTCTCACTAGGATCAAGAGGATGACTCTAAAACCATGTAGAGAAATAAAAAAAGGCCAAGATGTTATTCATCTAATACTAACCTCTCTTAAATAGAGGTTAAGAGGATATTTCAAAATAAGTATGAGCTAAAATCATATCCAATGATATCCCAACAATATCTCAAAATATATTCCTTAACACTAAATTAAACTTCTTTTGAGCTTTATCATAAAAAACCCCTAAGTATTGTGCATCTTCGTGTTTTTGTTGCAAGTGTTATCTTTTGAGCATGAAAGGCTCCTTAGGCAAATTTGATTCTAAAGCTATTGAGTGTATATTTTTTGCATACCCTTTTTATAGTAAGGCTTATATAGAGTACAACAAAATAACAAACCTATTATAAGAGTCATTCCATGTGAAATTTAATGAAACTCACTTTCGACTTGTTTCTATTGACAGGACTAATGATTAATCCCTTGTAATGACCCATCTGAAAAGGTTGCTTTAGAGAAGACCACACATGAGGAGGTCATATGTACACCTGTGAATTACCGTCACGACATTCTGAGATCAATAAGAGTTTCTGTTAGGAATTAAACAATTAATTTCTATTAATTGGAAACTTATCCTAAATAACTATCGCGAATCATTCTTTATCATTCAAAACCACATACTTTGGCTTAACTTTAATTAGGCCTAAGTGCTGAGCAATCTTGCGCAGTGCACGTCTCATGTGGTATGCAATTATTCTTTGTGCTCTCTTCATTTTGTCAAGCTAATCTGAGGTAGGTTGTCCAACTCCAAGTTCTTGCACAGCATCTCAAATAAATCTAAGATGGATTTGTATTCAATCCAATCAATAAGCTCCCACACCTAATTCAACTATGACCGAGCCCGAGCTACAATATATATATGTACTAGTGTTATACTCGTGCCATGCTGCGGGAATTTTTTTATTTTAAAATATTCAATGTAATTTTTTTATTTTATCTTAATAGAAAAAATAATTTAGTTAAAATGGAGAGAAGTTATGCATGCAATGCATACATATACATTTAATAGAATTACTATTATTGTTGAAACTTTTATAGTATCTATGCTGGTCTCATTTAATAAAAGAGTAATAAACATCTAGGTCCATACCTTTCTTCAGACCTGTGATGTTAGACTTCAGATGCTTATTAAGAAATCGAAAGGTCAAGAGCTTAAATTCAAGAGGTCTAATTAAAATTAAATTGAAAT